AAATACTGTCTATGTTTATATTGGTCCTAGAGTGAGATAAATACTGTCTATGTTTATATTGGTCCTAGAGTGAGATAAATACTGTCTATGTTTATATTGGTCCTAGAGTGAGATAAATACTGTCTATTTTTATATTAGTCCTAGAGTGAGATAAATACTGTCTATGTTTATATTCGTCCTAGAGTGAGATAACTACTGTCTATGTTTATATTCGTCCTAGAGTGAGATAAATACTGTCTATGTTTATATTAGTCCTAGAGTGAGATAACTACTGTCTATGTTTATATTGGTCCTAGAGTGGGATAAATACTGTCTATGTTTATATTGGCCCTAGAGTGAGGTAAATACTGTGTATGTTTATATTGGTCCTAGAGTGAGGATAAATACTGTCTATGTTTATATTAGTTCCTATAGTAAGATAAATACTGTCTATGTTTATATTGGTCCTAGAGTGAGATAAATACTGTCTATGTTTATATTAGTTCTAGAGTGAGATAGCATGACTGTGAATTGCAAAGTTGTATTCAGAAAGAATAAACCAGTTTTATTTAAGAAAGGACGTGTATTGCTAAAGTTTCTTCGGAAAGAATTTTTACGGAAAATTAACTAATGACCAGAGACGTAACAGTATTAATGAAAACTGGCTTATAGGGGAACCGTTATGTGGTTCATGCTTAATGTTGTAATAAATAATTGTGTTAGGTAGTAGTTTTTATTGTAATATAAATCATAAATTGACCAAAAAAATCAAACTTATATTTTAAAAGTCCCATAGTTATCATCCCATTTGTTTGATGAAGCAGCTGTTTTAGATATGGTGACTTTTATCAGGTGTTACTAGGTTTTATTAATGCAAGGGTTAATCTAGTTGATGTTTTTTTCAGGCTTCTGTCTTGCACATGTCATCATTGTTTCATGGATTTATCTTATGTCAGGTAATGTCCTTTATTTTTTGGTTAAAATCTTGGAACTCGATAAAACCCTTTACTTGTGTAGAAACTGTGAAGATTTGTGTCCTGTGATTTTATTGTGTCTATATGTAGATGATATCGAATATCAGTAATGGATGAGCAAATAATGGCTGCCAAAGCTGCAAACAACAGCTTTGAAAACTTTTTATTCTAAGTTGTTATTAAAAGACAAGTGTATGTTATTATTAACTATCCCTCTGGTTGCAAGAAAACAAAGAGAATGTGTTTTGCCACTTATTGCTTGTAGTCTTGTAAGTAGTGAATTAAAATTATCATTTTGTGTATGTAATGATGAATTGATAACATTTTATAACCACTCTTACAGTTCAATTATCAATATAATTAGTCACTATAAATTGAGAAACTGTGTCATTACTTCATTATCACGTTAACTGACCATTAAAAATTTAGGTATTATGTCAACATATTATTTACTGTACCATTCTAGTGTGTTTGTGTTTTGGAGTACAGATATTTACTGTACCATTCTAGCGTGTTTGTGTTTTGGAGTACAGATATTTACTGTACCATTCTAGTGTGTTTGTGTTTTGGAGTACAAATATTTACTGTACCATTCTAGTGTGTTTGTGCTTTGGAGTACAGATATTTACTGTACCATTCTAGCATGTTTGTGTTTTGGAGTACAGATATTTACTGTACCATTCTAGTAGTGTTTGTGTTTTGGAGTACAGATATTTACTGTACCATTTCAGTGTGTTTGTGTTTTGGAGTACAGATATTTACTGTACCATTTCAGTGTGTTTGTGTTTTGGAGTACAGATATTTTACTGTACAATTCTAGTGTGTTTGTGTTTTGGAGTACAGATATTTACTGTACCATTTCAGTGTGTTTGTGTTTTGGAGTACAAATATTTACTGTACCATTCTAATGTGTTTGTGTTTTGGAGTACAGATATTTACTGTACCATACTAGTGTGTTTGTGTTTTGGAGTACAGATATTTGAACATATTATTTTTTTTTAATTTTAACAAACCTTTCATGCTGTTGTAACTCATGTTTTAGTATAGTAACCATTCTTAACTACAGACATACAAAGCTGTGTTCATAAGTACTGTATTTTCACCCCTCTTTTTAGTGTCATATTGTTTAAAAGAGTTATTGCTGTGTTTGTCATTATATTAAGCCTAGTATAGTGTTCACGTTCAAAGCATATTATTGTGATAGTAGGAACTATAAAATTAGGAACTTTCAAATAGTCTGAAAAGTGAAGCCTTTGTTTCTTTCTAACTGTCATTTCTGTATAATTACCAATTAAAGATTACCATAAAAAAGTTAAGAGTATTCATTTTAAGTTTTAAATAGCTCTGGACAATGTACTGTGAACACATGGTTTCATTAAACCCACCTGGAAGTGAACAGAACACTCAGTGCTCTCTAACTCTTGCCGACTTCTGGGCCAAGGTAACGCCAGGCATCCTGCAGCTAGTATGTCACTCCAAAGTGGTACGTATTGTGTAGAATTAGTGATGACTTAAAATACCATACTCTGATAGTCATATATATAAAGATATTTAAGTCATAAAACCTGCATCTCTGTTTATCATCCTATTGTTTCTTCCGTGTGAAGAATAAGTTCACACAGCTAGTGCATCTTTATGATCCTATTGTTTCTTCCCTGTGAACAACAAACACATGCTATATTTTTATACTCATTTTTTAAAAGTTTTTTAGTATAATTTTTGTTGCTTCGTACATGTCAATATTCAACAGATGTATATTTAAACAGTGAATTACATGTTCTTCTGTAATAATAAAGACTAATGTTCTTAAAGCCTTCGAGTTAAACTTGGTAATTCTTTCAGGATGTTTATGATGAAATAATGATGTAGTTTTCATTGTAATGTTTAGAATGGAAGTTCCCTTGTTCATACATAGGTTGAAACAGTTGATTGCAGTCGATGTGAAATAAAATATAAAACAATAATGTATATAGTACTGTATTTTGTTAATGAGATATTTGTTGAGGCAATTTAAGGCAAATGTATGTTTTTCCTATTATTTCTACTGGTCAATAACTATGTGGTTAGTTCTTTTCTTTAACTGGTAATTTAGTTCACTCTATGGTCATCATGATTAATTACAGCAATGTTCCTTAAATGGCAAAGATATAGTATATGTTACAGTATTAAACTTTACACACATTTTGTGGTAACAGGTTTCTCTGGTGTCACAAATTGTTGCGAGGAACTGGATTAAACAATAGTAGAAGATGTGTCCCTTATTTATAGTATTACGTTTTAAGTCCAGCAGTTGTATTCATTGTTGAACATTTTTGTTTTATTAACCATCTTAGAGAAGTATTGATACCTGATCAGATGTATTAAGTATTCTTTTTAAGTTACATATAATATATGTACAGAGGAACCTAAACTGTTTCTTTATCCTGAATGTTTCAAATCTGTTGCTCAAGATTGGAGTTTTTCACAGCTAGTTAAACCATAGATGAAAAACAAAAGTTTAAGATATTTATTTAAAAAACTGGGTTCTTACTCTAAAGCATGAACATAGAATCTGAACAAAAACCTGAAATAATTTTAGTGTTAAGAATCATAAGTGTGAAGATTCTATGAATCCATGAATGCTATCATGCTCCAGGTTGAACAAAAAATGTGGCCTGGCTAACTAATGTTTACTGTAAAAGTAAAGCTACCAGTTTGGCTGCACCTTTTTTGTCACACCTAAGGTGTTTTTGATTATATTACACTTGACTAGAGTGTGGGTTATCCATATTTGTCTAGTTATGGTAAGAGTTCTGATAACATTGGCTGTAAATTTAAACATATGTTAGAGAACCAATACATCTCTGTAATGATGAGATCCTGTTTGTGGCTAGGCAGCTGTTTCACTACAAAAATATATTTGTCTAATAAAGGGGGAGAGAACAAGAACTATCACAGAAATTTAATCGCATGAACTGAAATAGAGGTCATTACAAATATGAAATAAATCTTTAATTAAACATAACCTTATTTTTGATACAATATTTCTGTCACAATAGAAAAACAAAAATATCCTAAGTAAAGGCCTGGCTATACAATCTACATTGAAAATATGTAGAAAGGTTGCTGTATATTGATACTAATGTATACTAAGCAAAGGCCTGGCCATACAATCTACATTAGAAATATGTAGAAAGGTTGCTGTATATTGTCACTAATGTATACTAAGTAAAGGCCTGGCCATACAATCTACATTAGAAATATGTAGAAAGGTTGCTGTATATTGTCACTAATGTATACTAAGTAAAGGCCTGGCCATACAATCTACATTAAAAATATGTAGAAAGGTTGCTGTATATTGTCACTAATGTATACTAAGTAAAGGCCTGGCCATACAATCTACATTAAAAATATGTAGAAAGGTTGCTGTATAT